TCTGGGCACCTGCCACCCTGGAATTCCCAGCCCAAATGCCCCCAAACTCACCTTTCCAACCCCTGCATGGGTCCATCCTCCAGAGGGCGGCCCACTGCTGATGTGAGTCCCCCAAGGCCGAGGCATGGCCACGGGAAGCTGTTTGCAGGGGATAGGGTGGGGCTGGGGGTGGGCCTGGGAGGCCTCTGTCTGTGTGCCACGAAGCTGGAGGGGGACAAAAGGAGGGGCTGGACTCCGGCCCTTCAAGGTGTTGTGTTTGTCAAAGCAGAAGGACAGAGCACATTGTATTTAACATTTTCTTAGCTTAATTTGTAATTTTCAACAATTTAGACAATTAGCACATAGTTCAACCTGTGCCTTCCCCTGGCAGAAATGTTGGCATAGTCTGATCACCAAGACACTAGCTTGTCCCTCCTGAGGACCTCTTACGGGAACTCCTCTGCCCACGCCAGCTCCGGGGCCCGAGTCCAACAGCCGTTTGGTTATTTCTGAGCAGGGTCCTCACAGCCCCTCTCTGGTCTTCAAGCCATAGCTGATGGTTTGAAATCATAAATCCAACCTACTGCTTTAGGACAGAAACGGGCCTCCCCTTCCAGCACCACCCTCTGGTCTCCACCACTGCTCTTGGTCTTGGGCGGCCCCTCCCCCACCCCACTTCTCCCAGCTCCTCTAACTGAGGCTCCCCAGGGCCTTTGCACAAACTGTCCTGTCTGTCTGGAAAGTTCAGCTGATGCCTGGTTTACTCCCACTCAACCCATCTCTCGGTCTTCACCCAAGTCCCAGACATGGTCACATACCTCTTTTACGAGCTCACAGGGCATGTGGCTAAGCGTCTCATCACGTTTATTGGGGGTCTGCTGATGAATTCCTGGCTCTTCCACTCTGGGCCTTGTGGGGGCAGTGTGGCCTGTCTCCTACCCCCGGCAGAGGCCCGTGTCTGACTCCGTCCCGCCCACCTGTCCAGGTTCATCGCTGACACCACCCCCTCCTTGTCCCGGTCATGGGCCTTTTTGTTCTTCTGCCACCCCGGCACCTCCTTCCACAGACCTTCTGCATGTGTGGCTCCCAGTCCTGGGATGCTTTGGCCCTAATCCTCAGTCAGCCTCACCTGCCTTCATCGCTTTCCGTTCTGTGTCACCAAGGCCTTCCAGTCTGTATCAGCACTGCCCCACTCCAGCTGACGTCACCCCCGCAGAGCCACACGGGAGGCTGGGGGCTTTGTTATCCCTGCTGACACTCACCCTTGGTGAGTTCAGTTATTCAGGAATGAGTCCTGCTTGGGCTGTCCCCAGAGCCCCCCAGTGTCTGGGCAGTACAGTGCAAGCTCCCTGACTCAGAAGTCCCCAACCCCCCTCCCCACCACGGGCACCTTTAGTATCTCAGTGCTCTTTCTCCGGCGTGCTTAGACAAGAGATGCCCAGCAGTTTTGTTTATTAAGTTGGTTAGGATCAAACAACTCAAAAAGTATTTATGGGATAATGGTCTGGCAGGCCATCAAGATGTTAAGCATTGAATTACCATATGACCTAGCAATTTCTCTCGTGGGTATAGACCTGAAAGAATTGAAAACAGTAATTCAAACAAGAACTTGTACTCAAGTGTTCATGGAAGCGTTATCTGAAATAGTAAAAGGTTAAAAACCCCGGTGTCCACTAATGGAGAAACGGATGAGCAAAGATGTTGTATATCCATGCAATTGACTATTATTCAGTCATAAAACAGAGTGACGCCCTGACACAGGCTACAACATGGATGACCCTTGAAAACATTATGCCAAGTGAAAGAAGCCAGACACAAAATGCCACAATTATACCAGCTCATTTGTATGAAATTTCTAGAATAGGTAAGTCCACAGAGACAGAAAGGAGATTAGTGGTTGCCAGGAGCTGGGAGGGGGCGGTGGGGGTGCGGGGAGAATATAGAACATCTGCTTAAAAGGTTCAGGCTTTCCTTCTGGGATGATGGCAATGCTCTGGAACTAGATAGTAGTGGTGATTGCACCACATTGTAAATGTGCTAAATGCCAATGAGTTGTACACTTAAAAATGGTTAAAATGATAAATTTTGTGTTATGTATATTTTATCACCCTAATGCAGGTTAATTGTATGTGATGTGAATTTCACTTCAATTTTTTTAAATGATTTATGTTCAAACAACAACGTAGCTGTTTTTAAAAAAAGATCCACATAAACTGAAGTAAAAAAATGTATTTCCTTCTTAAATAAGCCTAATTATGTACTAATGGGATAGTTGTGCCTGTTGCGCACTGCACAATTTCTCAAAACTGGGAATCAAATGAAACCCTGTCACCTCTGTTCCTTGTCACACTGATTTTCATCCAGTACTTACTTTTGGTGACAGCAACTGCCCAAAGCCCAATTTTGCAAAGATATGACATTATCGGAACATAGCAGAATCGAATATCAAATGTGTGAATTAGCTGAAGTTAAGCAGTTGACATGGTTTCTGGTAGGTTTCGCTGGTTCCCTTCAAAATTAAAATGTCCTGCGTCACCCCTGTGGGTCCTCGGTGCTGGTCCAGGGTGCCATGGCACATAGTCTGAGAACTGTGGTTATAAATATATGCTAAGTTAAATTAATTATAAAGTTGATACTTAAATACATTCTTAAGATGTTCCTCCATTGTTTTCTTCTTCTCTCTGTGGGTAACCAACTTTCCTTCCAAGTAATCTTGCAAATATCTGGTCAATTTCATCCCTAAAACACCCACTTCTGGAAGAAATACTGCACATCGTGGAGAACTTGTAACGCTGACAGCTGCTCTCAGTAGGGGTGGCGGGAGTTTGACACGGGCAGCAGTTTTGTTTATTAAGTTGCTGGTTTGCAGCACAAGACACAAGCGCCCATGAAATGAAATGGGCCTTGAATTTTAAAATCGCGACACAAGCAAAAGGCAACCTCGTCGTGTTGCTCTGAAGACAGAAGACAGAGGTGAAGGTCCAACTCTGGACCAACTTCGTTCCAATACCTGTTATGATAACAAAACATACTGAGGAAATATGAAATCTAAAACCTTGAAAACCGGGGGAGAGGATAGCTCCTCCCTCTACAGGGTATAGTTTCAGATCTTATTTTGTTGTTGTGTTTTTTAAGCCATTTCTAAGCTGCTACAATGAAGCCTGAAGCTACTGTTCAAGGTCAGTGAGGTGAACAGTCGGGGCATAGACTGCACTTGTCCAGGCAGGTCCTCTGACAAAAAGGAGAGAAATCAGAAGCTCTCTTTCTGAAGCGACCTGAGCTGTACTAAAACGATCTGAAAGCAAGGCATCTGAAGGTCGGGCTGGCCTCTGGCTCTGCTCCCGAGTGCAGAGGGCTTAGCTGCTCTGCTGGCCGGTGGAGCCGCCTCCTGCCTCTCCCCCCACCCACAAATGACCCCCACCAGGCCGCGGCCCTGCACAGCATGTTGTTACTCCACCTGCTGGGTCTTTCTTCTCGCTGCTCCGGGTCAGATCGCGCCAGCCAAGACTTTTCCTTCCAAGATGTCTATTTGGACAGGAATTCTCGGGTACTGCTTCTCACACATACCCTGGTGGCTTTGCCAAAAATCTCAAGGCAGCCTCTCCGCAAGGTGAGCATCTGCCACCTGTGGGCAGAGCTTGGGAACTGCAGACGCGGCCGCTTGGGAATCAGGACCAGCTGCCCTACAGATGCGCCAGCCCGGCTCCCAAGCAAAGGGTCCTTCACCCACGTGGCAGATTCTTGTACCAGGCACTGCCGTCAGTATGGGTGGCGGTGACCTGGCTCTGCCTCCTGGGTCTCTGGGTCGGGACGGCAGTGGGCAGCATGGTGCCGTGGCTTGGGCCACCTCCTGGTGGGTGGGCGGCTGGGCTGTCTGCCTTCAGTTTCTCCCTCTGTAGGAGGAGGAAGGTGGAAGGAGGGTCTCAACTTCACAGGACTGTGGGAATTGAATGGGCAAACATGTCCTTGGAACCATGTCTGCACAACCTGCCCTGCACCCGTGTCGGCTCTGTCTTTTTTCTTTCAGTCTGGGCTGCTTTTGTGGGTGTCCACCCAAAAGTCTAATCTGCCATCAGCCCAATCTGGTGCATTTCCCCGGGGGTGTGGACAAGCAGGACACTATTCTGTTACATTCAGTGAAAGAACATGTCACAGGCATTTATGTAACGACACTCATTTCTGTTCAAATACTGTACAATTTGTTAAAGCAAAGCGTTGGCAACAACCCAAACCCCCACTGAGGGGTACTGGGTGGACTGTGGCCACCGGTCCCCATGGAAGAGCACCAGGCAGCCAGGGAGCAGGAGGAAAACGACCCCTGGATGCGGCCCTGGGGGAGGGGAGTGCAGGGAACACAGCAAGGGGGAGGGGTTCGCAGGGAACACAGCAAGGGGGAGGGGAGCGCAGAGTGCACATTACAGTTTATCCAGGATGGGGGGGGACTACCTGTCACCATAATCCATCCATCAGTCACCTATTGTTCAACTGTTTAACTATCAGCCATCTATCAACCAACAATTCATTGGGAGAGGGTACAGCTTAGTGGTAGAGTGTGTGTCTAGCATGCACAAGATCCTGGGTCGATCCCCAGTACCTCCATTAAAGATAAATATATAAATAAAAACCTAATTACCTTCCCTCAAAAAATTTTTTAATTAAAAAAATTTATCAACTATCTACCTGTTTAACTAGCACAATCCACCTGTCAATCAACATCATTCAACTATTTATCTGCTATCTACCTATCATAATTCGTCTATCAACCGCCATCAACCTTATCATGTTATCTATCTATCTATCTATCTATCTATCTACTTCTAGTTTAAAAATAAGCAGTGGAGAATAAGGCATAAGTATTGTTGAAGGGCACCTACAGGCGGGTAGGGAGAATGCAAGGACCGGGGATGGAAACGCAGCATCTTCGTACGTGTCTTATCTTAAGGTTTCACTTTGGAACCGTGCAAATACTTCACTTACTTACGAAACAAATTAGCTTAAAAGAAAAGCAATCTCTAAATGTCAAAAATAAAATTAGACAAACAAAATGTGCAGCCCTTTGGAGGCCTGACCAACCACAGGGGAGTTATTCCTGGTGACTCTAAAAAGTGGAAATGTGAAAGGCACTCCTA